TTAAGACCTCCCGGGCCCCACTCGAAACTCACCCGAGCCCTCGGGGCTCCAAACCAAACATGCACACAACCTTAAAACATCTTACAGACTTACTCGTGCGATCAAATCGCCAAGATAACATCATATACATAGAATCAAGCCTCAAAACACATGATTTTCTCTCAACTTTCATAAAACTCAAATTCCCCATTTTAAGTCCGAAACACGTCATATGATGTCCGTTTTTAGCCAAACTTTACATATAGTGCTTAAAATATATTTAAGACTCGTACCGGGCGTCAGAACCAAAATACGAGCCCGATACCACAGTTTTCCGATCAATTTTCTTCTTCATTTTTCTTAATTAATTTCAGAAAACAATTTCACACAAAAATTCATTTCTCGGGCTTGGGACCTCGGAATTTACTTCCGAGAATACGCTCAAGTCCCATATTTTTCTACGGACCCTCCAGGATCGTCAAATCACAGGTCCGGGTCCGTTTCCCCAAAATATTGACCGAAGTCAATATTATGCATATTAATATCAAAATTCATCAAATTTTTCACAAAATTCACATATTCTAACATAAAAACTTTCCGGCTACGCGCCTAAACTGCGCACGCAAATCGAGGCAACTAAAAGCAAGGTTTTCAAGGCCTCGTAAGTACGGAACAAGGAAGAATTACGGTGATGACCCCTTTGGGTCGTCACACAATGTCTTCTACAGGACTGCGGTTAAATGCTCAAAATGACTATGTAAAGTTTTATCTCTTTTATTCCAATCATGCAAATTTCTTTTTTTAGAATTTACTATATTTATTTTGGCTGTTCATAATAATTTCCTAGCCCGTTTTTTTCTTGGTGGTAATCATATACTTAATAAGCCCATTCGTTAGCTTTGATATGTATCTGCCTTATGAGAAACTATCTCAAGCACAAGGTATCAAATTTCCATAGAAGACATGAGGATTTGAGAGAGAGAGCAATCAGAGAAATCTCCATTGTTATTTACAATTGGAGAAGAAGTTAGCTAAGAAGAAAAGCTCTGCTAGTCTAATATACAGACAACTACTAATACACCCTATTAGTTAAATTAGTTACCAACTTTTATTTGTACACTTTAACCCCAAAACTATCTGTACATACATATACTATCCCGGCTCAATACTCTCCCTCAAATTGGAGGGTAGAAAAATATTCTTCACTCCAAGCTTGCAAAGCAGATGATGGTGTTGTGTTCGTCCAAGTTCCTTAGTCAACAAATCTGCTATCTGCTCCTTAATGTTCACATGTATAGTCTTGATGATACCAGTCTTTATCTTCTCTCTAATGAAATGACAATCAATGTCAATGTGCTTTGTGCGTTCATGAAAAATAGGATTTGCTGCGATTTGGATCGCTGCCTTGCTATCACAATATAGAGCCACAGGCAATTGCAACTTGACACCTAATTCACCAAACAGACCAACGAGCCACACAATTTCTGCTGCAGTTGAAACCATGCTTCTAAACTCAGCTTCAGCTGAACTCCTTGCCATTGTTTCCTGCTTCTTTGATTTCCAAGAAATCAAGGCATTGACAAAGAATACTAAGTAGCCAGTGACTGACCTTCTAGTTTGAAGGCATGCTCCCCAATCAGCATCACAATATGCCTTCAAAGTCCCATCACCTGATGGTAATAGCAGCCCCTGCCCTGGTGCACTTTTGACATATCTGATAGCTCTCTTTGCTACATCTAGATGAGATTGCTTAGGAGAGTACATGTACTGACTTAAGGTTTGTACAACAAATGATATATCCGACCTAGTCATTGTTAAGTATAGTAATCTTCCCACCAATCTTTGAAACTCATCAACATCTTTCAAGAGAGGGTCTTGAACAGTATCATCAGAGGAAGAAGCCAATTTGTCAAAATCAACAGAAGTTAATTTTTGGTTTACTTCTAATGGTGTGCTAGAAGGCTTCGCCCCAGCTAGTCCAAGTTCTGAAATTAGCTCTAATGCATATTTGTGTTGGCTCATGTATATGCCCTTTTCTGATCGAGCAAACTCAATCCCAAGAAAGAATTTCAATTCTCCAAGATCCTTCATTCTAAAACACTACTTCAAGTTGGCCCTTGTCTTGTTAATTTTTGTTATGTTGTTCCCAGTGACTATCAAATCATCCACATAGACGAGCACTAGAACAAGGTAAGTATCAGTTTTCCTGGTAAATGGAGAGTGATCATAGTGGCTTTGGGAGAACCCCATGGTCTGTAGTGCCTCAAACAACTTAATATTCTATTGCCGAGATGCCTGTTTAAGGCCATATAGGGACTTATGTAGCCTGCATACAAGGTACCCCCCCTGCTTGGCAACTCCCTTAGAGAAACCAGGAGGAACAAACATATAAACTTCTTCAACTAAGTCGCCTTGCAAGAAGGCATTATGAACATCCATATGATAAAGAGGCCAACCAGAGGAAGCTGCCAGTGCTACAATTGATCTTACTGTCACCATTTTAGCAACAGGTGAGAAAGTATCAGTGTAGTCAAGGCCCTCCTTTTGTGTGTAACCTTTTACTACAAGTCGAGCTTTGTATCTCTCGACCTCACCTGAAGCTTGATACTTAATTTTGAACACCCACTTACACCCTATAGGTTGCTTCCCAGGTGGTAGTGACACCAAGCTCCAAGTCTGATTGTCCTCCAAGGCTTGAATTTCTTGTTGCATGGCATCAACCCACTTAGGATCCTTAGTAGCTTCAGCAAAAGA